TAATTGCTATAAGGTTGGGTATTTGATTGCAGGATGGAAATAAAGAATTTGCGAGGAAATGTTGTCCGATCTTTGAGAGTGTTTGGTTACTTTGAAGTTGAGTTGAAGGGCTTGAGTTCCACCCACGAAATTGTCTATAATGGAAGAAGATTATGAGCCGTGGTTGATGAGTAATCCCAAAACTGTTCCGAAATTACTTTTGAACGTTTTCTTGCAGTATTTACTCGATTGTATATCATGTGTACTTGCATGTAAGTTCATGGCATGATTTGATTTCAACGAGTTCTTGAGGAGTCTTGTGCTAAATACCAACATCTCCACCACTTCTTACTGTTCACCTGGAGCACCAACGGGCTCCCTCTTACTGTTCAACATTAAATGATCTATTTGAACGTTGCGTGTTTAAGTGCAACAATTTCACTGGCTCACCAGAGCGAAAATACGTACATTTGATCTCTGAATCATGACATCATCGAAATGCATTATTGTGAAATATATTGGATTACTGATTTCCCTAGTTACTCACTGAATTTCTAGCTCACCCCAAAGCTATTTTATTTCCCTTCTACAGGGCTTGAGGCGAAGGACATACTTGTAGTACTTATTCATGTGAGCGGATGGGTTATCTCCTGTATAGTTTGAATTTGAGATTTTTCTTGTGTAATAGTTGGGTTTGTATGAATGTTTGGACTTGAATGGATGTACGTGTACGTTCCACGTTTGGGAACTAGTTTTACTTCGCATGATATGTAATTCATGGAGAATTTGATGTAATATTTGAGATGTGCATTGTAATTTATTTAAGAACTGTAGTGAGTGAGTGAGTCCCGATGTGAGTTGGGCTGGCGACCCGCCGAACCCTGGGGCACGCCCTAGGGGGAGGTAAGGTTGTCATACTCTAAATAGCTCTCAAACAAACCAATTTAATCACACCAAGCAATAGCATCATAAGTTGCTTTCTTCTCTGTTTTTGTAATATTTCTTCTAGTGAAATATTAAGTTGTCGGTAGTGTCCAAGGACGCAAGCAAATTATCTGAATCTCGTTAAATTCTGGTGTTCTATTTTATTGTCTATTTAGTAGCTATATTTGTAGGTATATTTGTAGTGAGTTATTGTGCAATTAATTGTATATATAGGTAATTCTGTCTAGAAAATTGGTTTTAATTTGGTAGGGCTTCCGCAACAACAATTGTTGGCTTTGAAATTCAATAAATCTCCATCTTGGCATAATTTCTAACGCCTACCCAAAAAAAAATACAAAATCTTCTTACTCAATATTCAGTGGTGTCTTCAAATGCGTTGTCAAGCGCCAATCTTCAAGTTGTGCACAACATTTATCAAATTCAAATAATATTGGAATTTGACAATTGTCACAACCTTCGTAAGCATATCAGCAGGATTCTCCTTGGTCTGAATCTTTTGAAGTAGTATCGTACTATCTTTCAGATTTTTCCTCACAAAATGATACCGTACGTCGATATGCTTCGTCTTTGCTAAATAAATAGCACTCTGACTATCACAATGAATTTTGAAAGGCTTCTGTCTGATTCCCAATTCATCAAGCAACCCATGAAGTCAAATTGCTTCCTTAATAGCCATATACTCCGTCTCTGTAGTAGACAAAGCAACCATTGACTGTAAGGTAGACTTCCAACTGACTGGTGCCTTAGCAAGTGTAAACACATGCCCAGTCGTTGATCGACGTGTACCTTGATCATTTGTGTAGTCGGAATCACAATATCTAACTGCACCTTGACCAATCGTCTCATCCCGCTCAAATACTAATCCAACATCTACGGTGTTCAAAATGTACCGTAAAATCCATTTCACAGCCTGCCAATGCTCCTTGCCAGGATCATGCATGTACCTACTCACAACTCCAACTGCTTGTGAAATGTCAGATCTTGTACACATCATAGTATACATCAAGCTACCCACCGCATTTGCATATGATACCTATGCCATATATTCTCGTTCTGCATCATTCTTTGGAGATAACGATGCACTGAATTTGAAATGAGGAGCAAATGGAGTACTAACAGGTTTGGTCTTTTCATTCATGCCAAACCTCTTTAATACTTTACTAAGATACTCTTTCTGAGTCAAATAAAGCCTTCCCAATCTTCTATCTCTGCTTATGACGACAATTTTCTTGGTTTTGCTGTGATCTTTCATTTTAAACTCTCGACTCAAATGAGATATTAATTTTTCAATCTCACCTTGATCCTTGGAAGCTCTCAACATATCATCAACATGAAGAAGAAGATATATGTAGGATCCATCTCGTAACTTGCGCAAATATACATAGTCATCATATTTGCTTCTTGTGTACCTCTGCCCCATCATAAACTTGTCAAATCGCTTGTACCATTGTCTTGGAGACTGCTTCAATCCATACAATGATTTGTCAAGCTTGCACACCATCTTTTCTTTACCAGCAACGTTGAATCCTTCTGGCTGAGTCATGTAGATTTTCTCTTCCAAGTCACCATGTAAAAATGCAGTTTTTACATCTAATTGGACAAGTTCCAGATCCAATTGTGCTATCAAAACCACTAAAATTATGATGGAGGAATGTTTCACGACTGGAGAAAATACTTCATTGTAATCAATTCCCTCCTTCTGAGCGTAGCCTTTAGCCACCAATCTTGTTTTGTAGCGAATACCAGACTTATCAAGAAATTCTTTCTTCTTTGCATATACCCACTTGCATACAATTGCCTTCTTTCCCTTTGACAGATTGACAAGTTGTCAAGTCTGATTCTTATAAAGGGACTACATTTCTTCTTCCATGGCTGTCCTTCATTTTCCTTTCTCTAAACTTTGGACAGTTTCAAGATAAGTGGTAGGAACTTCATCTATTGCAATTGCAGATGCATTAGCCATCATATTAACATACCGAGCAGGTACTTTGATATTTCTCTTTGGCTTACTCCATGCAATTGATTCAAGTTGCTGTGAAGACTCTCCAACTAGAACATCTTCTTCAGTTGATTCTTCTTCTACCATAGGAATCCTTTCATCTGCTCCTATATCCACTGGTGGTCTGATAATGCTTCTTTCAAACTCCACTTGCTTAGGAGTGCTATCCACCTGTTGAGAAGTACTATCATTCTGTTGCACATCTACCTTTGTTAACATGGTAGATTCATCAAAGGTGACATCCCTGCTAAAAACTACTTTCTTTGTCTCGAGACACCAAAGGCAATAATCTTTAATGCCTGTCGTGATCCCCATAAAAAGCGCCTTCTTCGCTCTTGGATCCAACTTTGATTTTTTAACATGATAATATGCAGTAGAACCAAATACATGTAGGGAATCATAATTTGTAGCAGGTTTTCCCGACCATTTCTCTAATGGTGTTTTGCCGCCAATAGCAGTTGATGGTAAGTGATTAATGAGGTGATTTGTATATGCTAAAGCCTCAGTCCAAAATTGTCTGCTCAACCTAGCATTGGACAACATACACCGAACTTTCTCCACCAATGTCCAGTTCATACACTTTGCCACTCTGTTCTGCTGTGGTGTATCTTTGACAGTGAAGTGCCGAACAATGCCTTTATTTTCACAAACCTTCATGAACGGATCACTAGTGTATTTACCTCCGTTGTCTGTTCGAAAGCGTTTGATTTTTCTTTCTATTTGAATTTCCACCATCTGTTTCCACTTGATAAAAATCCTAATACTTCATTTTCACCTTCACAGTATACACGCATATTCTTTGAGAGAAGTCATCGACAAAGGTAACAAAATAATTTTTGCCTCCCAGAGAAGTTGTTTTGGAAGGTCCCCACACATCAGAGTACACATAATCCAAAATACCATTGGTATCATGAATTGCAGTGCCAAATTTTACCCTTGTCTGCTTCCCTTTGACACAATGCTCGCAAAAATCTAACTTGCAAACACTGGCTCCTTTCAACAGTCCTTGATTCATCAGAAGATTCAAGAATTTTTCTCCGACATGCTCCAAGCGCATATGCGCATATGCCATAATCTGATTACTTTCAATTCTCGATCATCATCGGAAGCCACTGCCGCTACTCCAACAACTGCATTACCTTGATAGTAATACAAGTTATTCTTTTTCCGGATTCCTCTCACCAGCACTAATGCACTTGAAATGATTTTCATCACTCTATTATATGCCGACACCTTGTAGCCTATTGATTCTAGTACTCCCACAGAAATGAGGTTATTTTTCAATTCTGGCACATATCAGACATCAGTTAGAATCCTAATTGATCCATCCTGATTCCTCTGCTGAATTGAACCAACCCCATTTGTTGCTAATGTGGTCTCATCTTCCGTGTAGATGACTCCACCTTTTTGTTCCTTGAAATCAAAGAACCATTCCCTATTGGACGTCATATGATGACTACAACTTGTGTCGAATAGCCATATACTAGAATGACCAGTAGACATGACAGCTAATGAAAAGTCTGAGTCTTGATCAATGCACTCAACTACATTTGAATCAGCAACAACTTTTTCCTTGACAGATCTACTTTTCAGCTTTGGGCAGTCCTTCATCCAGTGCCCTTTCTCTCTGCAAAAAGTACACTCATCTTTGCTTAGTCTAGCTCTCGATTTGGATCTATCTCTCGTCCCCTTTCTCTGGTTTTGTGAGCGTCCTTTAGATACCAGAGCTTCTGCTACTCCATCTCTGCTATTTTTGCTTGTCTTTTTTTCTGAACTCGTAGCTATACAGGGCAGAGCTAACTTCACTGAGGGACACCTCAGCTTTTCCATGGTGTAGAGTTGTTTCGGGATGCTCAAACTCCTCAGGAAGAGATCCCAACAACATGAGAGCCAAATCTTCATTTTCAAATATCATATCTAAATTCATCAGATCAGTGATTAACTGATTGAAATTAGTGATGTGATCACTTAGAGTTGTGTTAGGAACATAAGTGAAGCGAAATAAACGCTTCTTCATATTGAACCTGTTCTCACAATTTTTCTTCAAGAACTTCTCCTCCAATCCAATCCACAAGGCTCAAGCTTTCTCGTGTCCATCCTTTGCTAGAAGGTCTTCAATTTGGCATTGGAGCTCCTTTGTCTCATCTGGTCCCATTTTGTTAGGAAGTGGGGCATCTGGAACCAAGTCAATTTGATGCTCAAATTCCCTTATTGGTGATAGTCCATTTGGAATCTCATCGGAGAAGACATCCTCATAATCCTGCAAAAGAGAGACAATACTAGATGGTAGAGTGTTATTAAGATCACTTGTAACAACCAACACCTCTTTGCACAAAAATACAAAGATAGGTGTATTAACACTCAAAGCTTTTCTTACTACATTGACTTTTATCAATAGAGTTTGCCTTTGCTCTCTCTATTCAATTTTGGCCGACTCACCATATGTCTTTTTCCTCTCAATTTTCTCGGCCTTATCATTTTCTATTCCGCTCTCGGCTTTTTCTATTTTTATCTTCTCATTCTCGAGCTCACTCTCCTTGATCAAACTTTCTTGATCTTCACGAACTTGGATAGGAGTAAGTGGCACAAGTACAATCCTCTTGTCGCCTTGCTTGAAGGAGTATTTATTGGTAATGCCATCGAATGTAACTTCCTTGTCGATTTGCCATGATTGAATATAACTCCCTTGTCGATTTGCCATGGTCTCCCCAATAGTATGTGGCATGCTTGCATAGGGACCACGTTGCATAACACCACGTCCTCATACTTTCCAATTTGGAAAGGTACTTGGACTTGCTTGGTCACACGAACATCCCTACTATCGTTCAACCATTGCAAACGATAAGGAATTGGATGTCGTAAAGTGGGTAGTGCTAATTTCTCCACCATCAAGGCATTAGCGACGTTAGCACAACTACCTCCATCTATGATTAAACTACATATCTTGCCTTTGATATAGCAACGGGTGTAAATAACATTCTCTCTTTGTGCATGGTCGGTGGCTTTCACTTGGGTTGCTAAGACTCGTCTAACAACGAGTCCAACTCGTTTATCGTTTATCGACAGGCAATGCTTCCTTTTCTTCTTCTTCTTTCTCAAGGGATGACAACTCTTTCTTCTCATCTTCATCATCAGTAAGAAACTCACCATTGGGTAAGATGATCATGGTGCATTGGTTCGGTCATTGACTAGCAATATGCTCTTGGCCTTGGCATTTGAAGCATCTAGTATCTCGATTTCGCCCCATGCTCGACTCAATGGCAGTCTTTGGTGTTGCCTTAGATTTCCACTTAGTCATATCCGGCCTCGATCTTGAAGGAGTGGAATTACTCGGTCCTTTATCCTCCTTCTTTGATGGTGTTCTTAGGGGATAAAAGGGTGAAAAGTTGGAATAACTCCGAATCGAACCCCTCCTCTTAATCCTCCTTTTAATCTTGCTGGCATTCTCCACCAAGTCCCCAAATTTCACATAGTGGTGTAACTCTACTTGGTCAACGATTTCGGGCCTTAGTCGTTCAAGAAGCGTGCCATTGTTGCTTCTTGATCCTCCATGATGTTTGCCCGTAGTAGTGACTTGGTACGAAATGCTTCCTCATTAGTCGTCTTAGCTTCGTCCAAGTTTGTATGGTAGGTTCACAACTCCTCCTTCGACTATTGGAGAGTTGATCCCACCACACAACGGCGTAGTCGGCGAATTCGACCACGGCCAACTTGGTCTTTTGCTCCTCCGAGTAAGCATTGCAGTCGAAGACAAGTTCAATCCGCTTCTCCCACTCTAAGTAGGCATCGGGGTCTGATCGTGCTTCGAAAGGCGGAATTTTCATCTTTATGTCCGGAATGTGGTCACTTAAAGGCCTAGCATCTCGCTTGGACCTACCTTGCTTATGCTCATAGTTGTTGTTCGAGTTAGAGTCGCTAGACTCATGTGCATAAGCCTTTCCACGGCTGCCCTTGGAACTTCCACGAGACAACTCTAAGCTGTCAATGCGTTAGTGCATTAGTTCAAGTTTTTGGTCCATCATACATCCCAATTCGCCTTTGATTGCATCTGTGAAAAGTTTAAGATCAAAAGCTTGGGAGCTTGCTCCCCCCTCGTTAGCCATGGTGAAGTATAGGGTAAAAAAAATAATAATAATGGAAAGAAGCAAAGTTTACCTCACACACTTCCTCACGTGTTTACTCTCACTCTCGTGTTTGAACACTCTAATGAATTCACCAAGGTGTTTTCAAGGCTCCTTGGCCAACTCCTTGAAGAAGTTAGAACTCCCTCTAGTGTGGTTCGACTTACCAACCAAGGTCACAAGATTATAGCACTTTGAACGAAAAAGAACAAAAGATGAAGGGACTGACCATGATTCAGTGAATGACTCAAAGTTGAATTTTAAGAATCCTAGACAAAACTCTACTCGAAACTGGAATTTTGAGCTGCTGGTTGCTGCATTTCTGGTCAGTGTTTTGGTAGGTAAATGGACACTTAGATGATTCAGAATGACACTTAAAACTGACCTAACGATGCACGAAAATTTTCAGAATTAATGATTGGACAGAAATTCCCCAATGGTTGCAAAGATGGAATCCGAATAGAAAAGCAATTTGTGTTGCGGTGGGACTGTTTTGGAAACCCAAGGCTGACTTTTCTTCCTTAATCCTTTGGAAACAATGATTAGTCTTCCTATTTGATGCACGAATTCTAAGGTCATTGAGGAACTCCCGACTCGAGCACGAGCTAAGAAGATGAGGGAGGAACTCCAAGGACCCGTGACCACTAAACTTATCACCTTTACCTTCTTTTGAGGACATTAACATGGATGGTGCTAAATGAGCAGATTTTGTCAGGAAATTACACTAGCAGGTACGCCTAAACATTGAGCGGAGGATGGGCCAAGTTGCTCAAAGGGTTAACAAGGGACGCCAACGCATTGTGTTTGAATCTGGTGATTGGGTGTGGTTAAATCTATGCAAGGAAAGGTTCCCAATCCAAAGACGCAATAAATTATTTTCCCGAGAAGATGGGCCATGTCAAATCATCAAGCGCATTAATGACAATGCTTACAAACTGAACCTACCCGGTGAGTACAATGTGAGCGCTACATTCAATGTTTCTGATCTATCTCCTTTTCTTGCAGACGATGAAGCTGATTTGAGAACAAATCTTTTTCAAGAGGAAGGGGTGATATGAACCAAGAGACACCATTGATGACTCATCGAGTTCTCCTAGGACCCGTGATTCAAGCACGAGCCAAGAAGATGAGAGAGAAACTCCAAAGGCTTGTTCGTGACATACAAAGCCAAGAAATTGTCCCCAAGGTCATTGAGGGATTTTAGCATGAAGGAATGAAGGTCATCCATTTGGTGCACGTCAAAGAGAACCATGTGTGACCCTTCTCTAGTCACATTTGCTATTTTAGTTAAGTCATTAGAATAAGGGCTTAATGGTCCATAACCTTGTTTTATTTACCTAAGGGATGACCTCATAAGATTCGGTCAAACCCATAATTCTTAGTCTTATGGAAATAGTCAAGTCTATAATTCTTAGTTTTAGTCAAACCCACAATTCTAGACTAGTTCCACATTATTTAGTTTTTCATCTCTATGTAAGGCTATAAATAGCCCACACTTCCAACGGTTTTAGGCATTCAATCAATAAATTGGATTTTGAGAGTTTTTTGGTTTCTCCAAGGTTTCTTGAATACCTTAAAATTTCTCTAGATGTTCATGACTTATCAATCTAGAATTGCACTAGGTTGTGGCGTCTTCTATCATTATACCAAGGTTCGTTAACCACGTGATTAATGGGTTGAGGTCATTCGCTCCAAACTTGGTTTCCTCTTGTCGATCCTGAAGCTAATCTTTTACGGGTTTCCTCACAAGGTTGGCGACGTTCTTATCACCTTCTCCGTGGCTAAGGGGCCAAATTCTAACCAATTGTCAAACCAAAAGGATGCCTTTCCCTTTCGGACGAGCAGCTGCATGTTGGCCTCCATAAAACTCCGACTGGCGACCAGTCTTCTCCAAATTCGCGAGCTTATGGGTTTTAGCAGAGCACCAGCGACATGCTGGTCCCTTGTCACACATTTGGTAATCATGTAACGAGCCCAGAGAGAGGTTCCGGTTCGAAAGTTCCATCACAATTTGCATCCAAAGGCCCGTAGCACGTTCCTAAGTATATCGATACCCAGCCCATTCTACTCCATTGGACAACATATACTACTCCAATCTCGCCAATGCCGTTTCTCCCAACCCTCCATCTCCCCCCAAAAAAATCTAGACATGATTCGCTCAATTTGCTGCAAAACACACTGCGGTGGGTCCAAAACAGCCAAGATGTATAGTGGTATCGCTACTAGAACATGACGTATTAGTACTAAGCGACCCTCAGCAGATAGCAAATTTCTTCTTCCGGCCCGAGAGCTTTGCTTGCATTTTCAGCACCAGGTGCTGGTAATATTCCTTTTTGCTTCGGCCTTTGAATATCCGGCAGCCCAAATACAGGAAGGGTAGCCTCTGACGTCGAAAGCCTATCAACCGAGATATAAGTTGCTCCCTAGAGGGGGGCATATGGATGAGGTCATGTAGAAGCTCTTATCTTTGTTAATCAATTCGCCAGAGCCTTCTTATTATATCTCTAAAAAATGCAGAAGTGCTTTCACCGACCTCCGATCCCCTTTGTGAAAATGATTATATCATCTACAAATGCCAGATGAGACACCTGCATGGTGCCCCTTGGTTGAGAATAGTTTCGGACGGTGCCCGATTCCACCAAATTAATTAAACCCCAGCTAAGTGCCTCAGACACTAAGATAAACAGGAATGGGGAGAGGGGGTCACCTTGCTTTAATCCTCTGGAAGGTTGGAAGAAACCATGCGGTGTCCCGTTTACTAGTATAGAGAACTAGGACGAAGTCAAGTTATTCAGCACCATGTTCACGAACCGAGGGTGAAAATCGAATTGGAGGAGGAGCTTGGATAAGAAACCGCAGGATACCCAGTCGAAGGCTTTCATCATGTCATGCTTGAAAATGGCATTGTAGCCACGGAGCCGTTTGTCAATTGCTCCTACCAACTCCTGAGCCAACAATATGTTATCTGATATGTCCCTGTCCTGGATGAAAGTGGACTGCTCCAGTGATATATTAGAAGGCAGGATCGGTTTTAACCTGTTGCATAGAATCTGGGTAAAAACCTTGCTGACAAAAATGCATAAACTTATCGGCCTAAAATCCGAGAAGGTCTGAGGTGCATCTTTCTTTGGGATTAAGGTAAGCAAGGTGGTTACAATGCTCTTCAAAACTAGCACCACACACATAAACTCCCGAGCCGCCTTGTACACATCTTCGCCAACAAGACTCCAATATTATGTGAAGAAAACCCCTGTAAACCCGTCTATCCTTGGCGCACTATGCCCGTCCAGTTGAAACACCGCCTACTTGACTTCCTCTGAGGTGAGTTCGCACAAAAGCCGGTCATTTTGTTGCTGGGACACAATTACGGGGAGGTTTTGTAACAAGCGTGCAGCGGCAAGTTTGATCGAGGGTGGGGTAGTGGACATTAGGTCTGTGAAAAAAGACACAGTCTCTGCTCCAATGGCCTAGTCATCCTCAACATAAGCATCCTGTGAGTTTTTAATCCGGTGGATTGAGAGTTTTGCATGCTTGTCTAGCAGCTTAGCATGAAAAAATCGCGTGTTAGCCTCCCCTTCTT